TGTTCCCTCATTTCAGACCAAGTACTCACCTATTTCCCCACTGCCCGATCCGATACAGCACTCTACATTCTGGACCCAACATCCCCATCCACTCGAGGCCTGACAGCTACCCTGGCGCCACAGTCCTGACACTTCCCCTTTCACCCTGGGCTGGAGCCAGTATGTGCCACCCACTTCAAACTACCCTAAACGTTCCATCACTTGTCTGGATTTTTACCACCTTGTGCCCTGGCACTATACTTACAGGCACCCTACACGCCTGGTCCAGGCACAAATAACATGCCAGAAATAATTATAAATCAAGTGGTGAAAGGGAGAGAGAGGAAATACATTCAAATGCAAGCAGCAGGGAAGGGTGCTAATAAAATTAGTACTAATTAAAGTCCTGGTAAACTTCATCTTGTACTGTCTTTTATCCCCCTTTAAGTTTATGGACTAGAAAATGGCAGTTGGACTGCAATGTAGCTAAAAGTACCAGGACAATTTGAAACTTGAAGATCAAGTGGGATTCTGCTTTAAAACAAGATTATGTTACTTTCTGGATCAGTAAAATGGATACTTTATGAGACACAGTGACACAAGGGTCTTTATGTTAAGGAGAAACTGCCTAATGATGTCATTAAGATTAGTCTAACTGCAGTTTGTTACAGACCTACAAATGCAGAAACACACAGAATGCCTATATCCCACATCATCACTTAGTGAAAATTTGAAGACCCTGAAAAGAAAGAATTCTAATTTAAGGCCTAGGTCCACTGATCAGCTAATAAATCACAGGTCAACCCTTGCTCTTAGAGAACATTGCATCACCATCTCTAAAAAAAATCTTAAAACCTGAAAGAAACACCTCATCCCAGACTCAAAGTGCAGAATGTTTTTCCTATCTATATTTTTCCACCCGTAATATTTGCATCAAACCATCAGCTTGTGTATCTTATTTGTGAATGAATGTGTGTTTGGTACTTTAAAGAGGTTTAGTTCAAGTTGCATAATGGTCATGAGCTATCCATTTTTGTTTGCCATTTGTTAAAAAGGAGAGTGACTCAGTGGTTAGCACTGCTGCCTCACAGAACCAGGGACTTGGGTTTGATTCCACCCTCGGACGACTGTCTGTGTGGAGTTCGCACGTTCTGCCCGTGTCTGCGTGGGTTTCCTCCGGGTGGTCTGCTTTTCTCTCACAGTCCAAAGATATGCACGTTAGGTGGGTTAGTCACGCTAAATTGGGTATAGTATCCAGAGATGTTCAGGCTAAGTGGATTAGTCATGGAAAATGCAGGGTTACAGGGATAGAGTTGGGGGGAGGGGACGTTGAGTCTGGGTGGGATGCTCTTTGTAGGGTCGGTGTGGACTCAATGGGCTGAATGGCCTGCTTCCGCATAGTAGAGGTTCTATGATATGTTTTGAAAAATATACATAAAAAGTAATTTGCCAGGTATGGAAGATTTGCGTTATAAAAAAAGGCTGTTTAGGCTGGGACTTTTTCACTGGGGCATAGGAGATTGAGAGGCGACCTGACAGAAGTTAATAGAATAATGAGAGGAATAGGTAGAGTTCATGGTCGTTGTCTTTTGCGTAGGAAGGGCGATTTCAAGACAAGGGCGCTCATTTTTAAGGTGAGAGGAGAGAGCTTTAAAAAAGACATAAGAGGCAAATTTTTTACACAGAGGCCGGTTGCATTTGGAATGAACTTCCTGAGGAAGTGGTGGATACAGGAATAATTACAATGTTTAAAAGACATATGGACAGAGACATGAATAGGTAAGGTATGGAGGAATATGCACCAGGAGCAGGCAGGTGGGACTAGATTAGTTTGGGATTATGTTCAGCATGGACTGGTTGGAGCAAAGGGTCTGTTTCCGTGCTGTATGAGTATATGACTCTATGAAGGTTGAAACCTGGTGTGAATAGCAGACCATCAATTTATGTGCTCGGTTGTTACACACTTGTAATAAGCCTTACTATTTCACACTATTGCACTCTTCCCAATTGAGTCATGATAGTCTTAAAAGAGATGGGAGATGTATTCATGTTAATTTTTCAAAATTTCCAATATTTTGGAAAGGTCCCATCAGATGGGAAAACAGTGCATATAATTCCTCTATTCCAGAAAGGAAATAGAAAGTAGGCAACCACAGGCTAGCTATCTTATCATCCTCATAGGGAATGTTGGCAAAATAATTAAAGGTAAATATAGCAGCATACTGAAAAAAATGCAAGGAACGTAGAGTACAAGACCAGGGAGGTTACAATGATCTTAAGCAAGACTGTGAATAGAACTTAGCATGAATATTGTGTACAGTTCTGGGCACCACACTATAGGAAATGTGTGAATGCATTGGAGTGTGCAGAAGTTTATGAAAATAGTTCCAAGGATGAGAAACTTCAGTTAAGAGGAAAGATTGGAGAAGTTGTGCCTATTTTTCCTTGGAGAGAATGTGCCTAAGAGGAGATATGACAGAAGTTTCCAAAATCATGAGGGGTCTAGATATAGATTGAGAACCAAAAGGCATAGTTTTAAATTATTTTTGCAAAAGAAGCAAACAGAAGGTAAGAAAAAACTTTATCACGGAACACCGAGTAAGGGTATGGAATCTATTGCCTAGAAATGTATTAGAGATTGGTTCAATTCAAGACAACATTGGATGATTATTTAAATACAAACAATTTGCAGGGTTGCAGACAAGAGCGGGTGATTTGTACCTAGTCAAAATGCTGAAAGGGTCAGTACAGACATGGTAGGCTGAATGGCCTTTGTCTGCACTTTAACAATTCTATGATTCTGTGATTATCAGGCAGATGGTTTTGTGTATTTGACTAATTGAGCTCTTTGAGGAATGACAACCAATGTGGATAAAGATCGACCTTTAGAAATGGTGTACTTAGATTTACAGATTGATTTGGTATCTTGTCAAAAACAAAGGCTACTAAACGAATTAAGAGCTCAAGGTATAACTGATAATATATTACCAGAATAGAGGATTAGATAGATAACAGGAAAAAGACAGTGAAGATAAAATGGTCATTTTTTGATCTGGCAAGTTGTAATGAATGGAGGGCCACAAGGATGAGTGCTAAGACCTCAACCATTTACAAATATTGGTGGCTTAAATGGAGAGACTGAGTCAATAGTAGCTATATTTGCTGATATCATGAAGATAGGTAGTATAGTAAATTATGAAAAGGACATAAGAAGTTTGCAAAGGGATATAAGTAAGTGAAGTGACTGGCAAAAAATCAAGCAGATGGAATATAACGTTGGAAAATGTGAACTTGCGTACTTTGACAGGAATGTAAAAACCACCATGTTACTTAATTGGAACAAGATTGAAGAACTGTTAGAGGGATCTGGGTGGAACGATATATGAATCATAAAAGATTAGTGTGCAAGCACAGATTAGGAAGAAAAATAGGATAGTGTTGTTAACTGTAAGATGCATGGAATATAAAAGTAGGGATATTTCACTGCAATTGTACAGGGTGTTGGATTGAAGATGGAGTAGATGAACAGTTTCGCAGAAAACTAACGTCTCTTCTAAAAAGCTTGCACAGCAAAATACCTCCCTGTCAATTAAGATCAGTTACAAGATCCTAAAAAATGTTGGTAGACATAACTGATGAAATTCATCATCCTCTTCAATGGATCAGCTTTCAGCTGACTGAGGAAAAGAGTACTTGAGAATCAGGAATTCAAACTAGAGACTAAAGTCATTTGTTTCTAGGCAGTAGTGATCCTCACACTCCTCAAAGCACTGGAGAGGCACTACCAGTGCCTTTGCAAGATCCTTCAAACCCTGTGGCATGAACAGTGGTTCAACAGTGGCATCCTCTCCTATTGTACTTGTCAGCATTGAAGGGTTAATCACTCAAAACCAGCCCTGCTGGACAGGACATGTCATTTGTACACCTGACAACATTCCTCAAAGTGCAGTCCCACCATGACTGAGCACTTAAGAAAGACTATAATGTTTGAATTTATAGTTTTATTTCTTCATTTTCTACTTAAAACTATGAAGGTCTGCAATGTGTATCTTTTAAACTTATGTCATATGTTTGACACTATAATTACTCAAGGTTTAACTTGTAGCTTTGTTCTTGCTTTCTGCCTTGTTCTTAGGATTCTGTTCCTGGGTATTTACCTGAGATGGCACCTTGTGTGGCAACATTATGCACTTTTTACTGTACTCCTGTACTTCTGTACTCGAGTATACGTGACAATAAAATCAAATCAAAACCAAATCATCTGCTCTACTTGAACTCGATCATGGCGGACTCTCCCAGGCAGACTTTTGCAACTTTACATATGTCCTTAAAACACCCTTGAAAGGTTTAAACATTCCTGCCAACCCACAGATGACACTAACTTGTGACCTAGCAAAATGGCTTTTTCAGGAAGACACAAAGTACAAACAGAGAGTCCATGAGGAATGAGGAGAGGTGAAGGTGATGTGTGGGACTAGCCAGCCCATGTTGGCAGGGTCTGCTGATCCTACCAGCCATCTGAGAATTCATGGACCAGGGGGTGGAAGTGAGTCTATTCTCCATTCTGAGGGGCTGCCTCAGGACAAGACACTTAGACTATTCATCCAATTAGTCGAAACAAAATTGAATCCACTGAATTCAAAGTTTTGTTCCAATATTTTCCAGGCGATGCACCTCTTTTTAGAAATTAGACTTCCTTCACTTTGTCCAGAATGAATTTTGAGTGCCAAACGAAACTGCTCCGCGAATAAAACTAAACCATGAAACAAACGTCTAAATGTGGAATGAATTTGTAAAGTTAAGTAGTGACAAAGGAGTGATAAGAAGCGGTGGGAAGGGGATAGCAGGTTTGTGCAGATTCACTAACCCTGAACATGGGGTTGCAAACAAAACACACCGTTTAGCTGAGAACCAACCCAAACTTCTCTCTCTCTCTCTCTGCCTGGAGGCTCTGCGTGTCTCTGTCATCTCTGCATCAAATGTAATAACAGCGGTGAGGGGAGCTGTGCTGATGTCCTTACCTAGGGATTGCCTGCCTGCAGCTGGACGGCTCGGATCCGATTCCCGACAACTGGAGCCTCTTCCGCTCCTGGCGTCCCCCCAGCCGTACCGACCCCTGCAACCTTTCACCTTCTGTGGCCTCTGGCGTTTCGAGGAGCCGCTTTCTGGATCCGGTCTGAAGCGAATGGACGAGACGGTGCCCATGAGGAGGAGATAGACAGTGCCACCGATTCAGTAATACACAGTCCGGGCATTTCCCACGTACTGTACAACCAGCCTGCTCCTGTGGGAACTGAAACCGCAATCAATTTTCTCCCATCATGGAACTAATCCTCCTTGGACTCGCACAAATGGTCCTCGTTTCATTCTCCGGCTGCACATTAGTGCTGAATTACAAAGAGAGAGAGAATGGATGAAAAGATTCTATGACTTTCAGTGTTGTCATTGCTTCCAACTTCATTCGGGTCTAATGCAGACTGCGTTACGTAACCTGCTTTTCTCACACACTGTTCAAACTTGCGAAGGAACTGAGCCAGCTGAATAGATACTGTCAGGTAACCTGTTGATAAATGTCTCTCCGCGGTCTCCTACAGACTTAGATTGCAACAATTGCATCATAAATCCAAGATAACATGGATCAGACCGGGGAGACATCTACATTCACTCCTCACAGCATCAAAACAAAAGCCTTGTACACGCTGCCTTTTGTTTCACGGCGCCTCACAGCTACTGAAGTATTTTTGACGTGTAGTCACTGCTGTAATAAAGGAATCACAACAACTAATTTAAACTCCACCATCATCAATGCGTTAATGGCAGGATTGTCTGTTTTTCAACATTGGCCAGGACAATGAGGAAATACTCCCCTGCACTGAAATAGATTTCTTTACATTCCAAAGAAAAGGCAGTTGCAGTTGTATGCCAATGCATTGCTTATCTTTCTACTGTACCAAATGGAATCAAGTAACTGATATTTCCCATGAATGTAGCCCAGTTGTGGTGGAATGGAACATGTAGAGTTGACTTATGATGTTGGAGTGGAGCCAGAAAGATGGTACCCTGACTGGAGAACTGCATTGTGGGTATGTGAACAAGAAGGCACCATGGGAACTAGATCAATACACAAACATGCTAAGATGAAGATTTAAGTCTGTGCTAGTGCCATGAAATAGAGAGGGTCCTCTTGTATGCTTGTTAATACCCTAAAAGTGCCTCTTCTCCTCCAGCATCGGAGACTGATGTGGGTGTTATCCAGGATGTGTAGCTCAGGAGAGAACTGCCTGGAGTATGGCCTTGGATGGGGCAGAGAAAGAGTACATCAGGCACAGCTTCACACAGGACAGTGATGCAATTAAATGAGGCAAAACTACACATTACCATATATGGCACATAGCTATAGCAAGAAGCCGGAATCAAGAAAGGCTTTGAAACAGACTTGTCACTGCCGTGGGTAGGGCAGTGTGGTCAGCTACCCTGCAGACATGGTCTGAGATCTGTGGATGGATTGACCTCCTGAGATGAATCCTAGCTTGCAGGACAACTAAACAAATCAGATTCACTGAGAGTGTGTACTACTACTGAGAGTCATAGAGATATACAGCATGGAAACAGATCCTTCGGTCCAACCCATCCATGCCAACCAGATATCCTATATAAATCTAGTCCCATTTGCCAGCATTTGGCTCCTATCCCTCTAAACCCTTCCTATTCATATACCCATCCAGATGCCTTTCAAATGTTGTAATCGTACTAGCCTCCACCAGTTCCTCTGGCAGCTCATTCCATACACACACCACCCTCTGTGTGTAAAGGTTGCCCCTTTGGTCCCATATTTATCTTTCCCTTCTCACCTTAAACCTATGCTGTCTAGTTTTGGACTCCCCACCCCATGAAAAAGACCTTGCAAAATCACCCTATTCATGCCCCTCATGATTTTATAAACTTCTATAAGGTCAATCAGTTTTCAACGCTCCAGGGAAAATAACCCCAGCCTATTCAGCCTCTCCTGATCATTCAAACCCTCCAACCCTGGCAACATCCTTGTAAATCCTTTCTGAAGCCTTTCAAGTTTCACAACATGCTTCCTATAGGAGGGAGACCAGAACTGCACACAATACTCCAAAAGTGGTGGAAACAATGTACTGTACAGCCGCAACATGACCTCCCAACTCCTCTACTCAATGCACTGATCAATAAAGGCAAGCATACCAAATGTCTTCTTCACTGCACTGTCTGCCTGCAACTCTACTTTCAAGGAACTGTGAACCTGCACTCCAAGGTCTCTTTGTTTAACAACACTCCCCAGGACCTTACATTTCGTGGTTTAATAATAGTATACCATATTTAATGGAACAGTATCCAAGTCATTGTGTATCACTAATATGTTTCATAAATGATTGGGGCATACGCATGAGAATTAAGATAGATACTTACAGAAATAAATGTTTATAATATACTATATTATTATAATAGAGCAATTTGACATGGAGCAGGTACAAAATTGTTCTGTCAGAGTCAGTGATTCTGTTCCATGATAAGTATGAACTTAGTATGCAGTCAAAAACTCAGTTACAATTTGTTTTGTGGTAAGACTAAGAGTATGAGAATGCAAGTGTTTATTATTTCAGTGATTTATAATAAAATACAATTAGGGGAATAAGTGCATATCCTCTGAACTTTAGAATTATTGACAAGAATATAAATTACTATGTTTAACTACACATAAATAAGAATCTGCAATTAAGAGTCTAATGATGACCATGAATCCATTGCTAATTGTTGGAAAAACTCACCCGATGCACTAATGTTAAGCAAAAATTTAAATTACAAGTCTAATGTGACCCCAGACCCGTAGCAATGTGGTTGACTCTTAACTGCCTTCTGGGTAAGTATTAATGGGCAATAAATGCTGACTTAGCCGGCATTGCCCTCATCCTGTGAATGAATTAAACAATGTATGCAGACTTCAAAAGTTTCTGTCTGGTCCAGAGGAATAATGACTGCAAATGCTGACAGTTCTGTCAGGTTTAGCCCTAGCTGTTTGGAAGGGAAAAAGAGTAATATTGTTTTATTTCTCTATAAATTTATTGTTTAAAGATATTGTATGCATAGAGATTTGATCTCATAGAAGAACAAATGACAGTTGCATCTATATTTGGTGTCAGAATTCCAACTTACAGTTGTTACTGTTGTGATACAGGGTTACAATTTGTACATCATAAATCTCCACAAACAGTACTTAGATAACAATGAGATAGCAAGAACTGCAGATGCTGGAGTCAGAGTCAACACAGTGTGGAGCTGGAGGAACACAAGAAGGGTCCTGACCCGAAACATCAACTTGCCTAAGTTTTGATGAAGGGTCCCAACCCAAAATGTCGACTTTCCTACTCCTCTGGTGCTGTCTGACCTGCTGTGTTTCTCCAACTGTGTTGACTTTAGATAACAATAACTTGATTTTTACTGGTTCTTGTGAGTGAATAATGCTGAATAGAACCACGATGTTCTTCTTCAAATCATACGTACAAGGCTTGACATACCTCACACAGACAGCATCCTAGTTTAGTGTCTCATCCAGAAGATGGCCCTTCCAATTGTGCAAAACTGTCAGTCAAATTTACACATTCGAGTCTCTAGAAGGGAGCTTGAATTCATAACTTTCTGACTAAGAGGTACAAGTGTTACCATTGAGTCAATGCCGATACCTTAGTAAGGTCTTTTATGCTGGTTTAATTATCTTCAGGATGTCCTGTGCATTCTAATTTGACAAACTCAACAATTTTAAAATGGGTGAAGGAACAGAAAGAACTGTGTGTACAAGTGCACAAATTGTTGAATGTGGTTAGGCAAGTTGACAAAGTGGTTAAAAAGACACATGGGATCCTGAGATGTATAAAGAGAGGCATAGGAAAGCACAGTCAGGAAATTAATGAATCTTCAAAATACATTGATTTGGCCTCAGCTAAACTATTGTTTCAAATTCTGGGCACCACACTTCGGGAAAGATGTGAAGACTTTAAAGAGGGTGCTGGGAAAAGAAAATACATAAAGGAGTTCAAGGAATAATGGTTTCTGTTTATGTGGGGAGATTGATAAAGCTTTGTTATTCTTCATGAATAATTGAAGATTGAGAGGAGATTTGATGCAGGAGTTCAATGTCATATCAGGACTGAAAAGCATAGGGAGAGAAACTGTTTTCTATGGTGGAAGAGTTGAAAACTAAACAACACCAGGGTAAAATCATTGGCAATAGAAATAAACGTGATATGAGCAAATGGTTTTAATGTTGTGAGTGGTAACGATTTGGAATAGTCTAGCAGAACTGGTGGAGGCAGCAGATTCAATCAAGGCTTTCAAAAGGGCATTGTATATATACCAAAAGGAAAAACAAAATGTCAGGCTTAGGTAAGAGTGAGGAATTAGGCTAGATAAATAGCTCTTGCAAAGAGCTGTCATGACATGACAGGCCAAATGGCCTCTTTCTGTACCATAACTGTTCTCTGATTCTGTGATTCTATATAAAGAGGTTTAAACATTAGAACTTTGAATATTTGTACTGTAAAGGTTAGCACTGAGTATGAAATATCCTCTGAAACCTTAGAGACATGTATAGCATGTAATATAATATTTGCAAATTTTTAATTGAATTAAGTATATTAAAACATTGTTGAGGAGTCTGAACTACTGATAAATCTTCTATGCGCTGTATTATTAAAAAAAATAGATTATTTGTTTAACAAGAACTTAATGTACTCACAGTCCTGATACAGTTTCTTCTGTTTTATGAAATATCAGTTTGTATCCTTAGAGGGAAAAGAATAGAATTAATGTTAAAGAGAACAGTTAAACTAATATAAAAGGAAAGATCAAATAAGAAACATTTTAAATGTTAAATTTGTTTTAGGAATTATTACTATTGATTTAACTTTGGTATTACAGCATTGAAGATATTCACTTCATTGGCTTATTTGGAGTTTGCTTCAGTATCAAATCTTGCAAAGTCAAGGCCTCTATATAAAAAAGGCAGAAACAGTAACAACGACTCCTGAAAACATACAAATCATATGAATCAAGAGCAAGGAATAGGTTGTTTAATCCCTCAAACCTGTTCCACTGTTTAGTAAGATCATGGCCAATCTAATTGTAACTTCAAATCCCCATCTTTGCCCAGCTCTGATAACCTTTCAAAATCCTGCTCAACAAGA